GTATAGCCTCCTTTCTGGGGGAGGGACAGTAGAGAAGAGGGTGGAGGAAGACGTCGGAGTGTAACTTATGACAAAACTATAATAATTTATTAATTATGAAGGGTTCATGTGGGAGGGGGGAGAGGGGAGGGAGAGGTTAAATGAGCAAATGATATTAAGGGCTAAAGTGGAAGGCAGGTGTTTTGAGATTGATAAAGGCAACCAATGTACATATGTGCTTGACACAATGGATGTATGTATGGACTGTGATGGGACTTGTACGAGCCCTCAATAAAATAATTAAAAAAACAAAAGGCAGTCCCCTGAGTGAAGCATCAACTAAATCCACATGGAAGAAGCACACCAGCTGTGTGACCCAATGATTGTAAATAATATAATCCAGCTTAAATGAAGGAATGGCATCTGAACTTAAATTGTAACACCTGTGTTGCAAAAGACTAACGCTAGCAATGGAAGCCCAACATCCATTTTCAGGGTCCACACTTGGATTAATCCTCTAGTAAATTCCTTTTGATCATAGTTGAAGGATGTGAATAGCCTTATTATCAGACAGAGACCATTATGGCAGACGTAGTTAGGCTAAAATGTAATATCTTATCATTTGATATCTCTTTTGACCCATTTTAAAGCTGTTTCAGTTAACAAAACAAAGTGTAGGGTAAATTACTCATGGATTCAGCCTCTGGTGAATCCCCTCACCATGGAGCAGGGATTTGAATAGCTTGCTATCCTGCAGGATGTACTGGAAAATGGATTATTGCAGATCCAGTTAGGTTAAAATTTAGCACTTCATCATCTGATCTTCCTTTGAATCCATTTTAAATTTGTTCTAGTTTTTAATATTTTCAGCCTTCTTTTCAATTGAGATTTTTATCTGTGCTACTTTATTACTGTTGTTAATGTTTTTTTAAAATGTTTTTCCGTATATGAAACCCAAGATAGGCAAAACTATAGAGCCAGTAGCTGAATTAACGGTTCCTTGAGGGCATGGCAGGGGACGGTGGGGAGAAATGAGGAGCTAATAGTTATGAGGACAAGAATGAAGACAATGTCCTACAACTGATTGTGGTGATAATTGTACAACTCTTCCCGATGTGACTGAACTACTGAATTGTGGATTGTGAATATGTGGATCATGTGCCAATAAAACTAGTTTTTAAAAAACAAAGGAGCAGAAGTGCAGGGCACTTACCTGGGGCATCTTCTGCAGCTCCCCTCATGTGGGCAGCCAGTTGGCACAAGGTCAACTGCTTCAGTTTTTCCAACTCCCTAGGATATTCATTGTTTTTTTTCTTTTTTCTTTTGATAATGTTGTCGATTTGGCCTGAAGTCTAAAGTCTGGCCTGCTGGGCTATGTGTCAGATTTGTAAATTAGATGACATCTGTTTTGTATTCTATCATCTTTAATTTTCTTTCAAGTTCTCCTCGCTTGTTCACTTTCCCTGTGATTATAAGGGTCAGACTTTGTTGTAAGCTTTAGACAAAAGGGTAGGCCTAACTGCTGGGGGCGGGGTGGAGTGGGGGTAGAGCAGCACAGATTAAACTGACTGAAGCCATGGGCAACACTGAAGGCTATTCAGGGAACAGAAGGTTGGGAGGGAAGTCATAGCAACCATTCCAGAGAGGATGAGCAGTTAACACAAAAGGCTAGCTGTCCACCGCAGTGCTCTGAGGTTCCCACCGAATAATTAGAGTTGATTAGAAGGAGGCTGACAGGGAGCATGGAGCGGAGAGAAGGTGTCTGAACTGAGGAATGTTGAGGTGGGGATGGTGGTGGTCGGTGGTGGTATGTGGGGTGAGCCCTGACCTTATCTTTTCACATTTAACTTTTTCTCTCTTAGAAAAATAGCCAAGGGAGGAGACACATAGATGCTTTCTCAGACAGACTCCCATTTCCATCGTGAACCTTTTGTTTTCGTCCTACCTCTCGTATATCATTTTTCTTTTCTTGTGAAAATTATTTATGCTTATTGACGGAGTTTAGGATCCGTTGTTTGGCTAGAATGCTTAATGTATCCCTTCTGCACTTGCATAACTCGTCCCTGCCTTATGAAAACATTCTTTCACGCATGTAACCTCACTGATTGGCTTCCTGATGCCTTCCATTTGCCCAGGCATTAAAGAGAGCACGGACCACTGGTCAGCAATCAAGCACTGCGTATTTACTTGCGCTGCACAGACCGACCAGGCATCCCTGGGAGGAGAAACACACAGGCTGCCGTGCATGGATGACAGACCTGTTGCCCTCAATGTCTGTGGTAGAGGTTCCAAGCCAAAGTTCAGAAACTGCCCAATCATGGAAAGTAGCCCACTGTGATTCTGTGTTTGCATCTAAATGCCAATCTTCCCTTTGTGATGCTTTCTGTGAAGCCCTGGAGCTCACCATGTTGTAAGCTGTTGCTTTGAAGGTAATGTAGGCTGGTGAAAATGCAGGCGGTTTTTTAAATGGTGTATCTGTATAGCAATAGTTCTTCACCAGGGACAATGCGATCTCCCAGAAGATATTCGGAAATTTCTACAGACATTTTTGGTTGTCACCATTAAGGGAGCGATGGCACTACCGATATCTACTGGATAAATGCCAGGAATGCTTGTAAATAATCTATACTGCACAGGAGACTTTGCACCACCAAGAAGTAGCTACCCAAAATATCAATAATGCCAAGGTGGACAAACCTTGCTATTAGGCATAGCTACACGGAACCAGGCAAGGATAGATTTTTATCTGCACCATTAAATCGATGGTGTTGAGGGAAAAGGACCCAGGAGATTTGTCTTTCTCAGACGCAACTAGTGCTATCTTTGATCTCAGAGAACACTCTGTGTACAGTGGGGCTATCTCTTTTAACTACCTGCTTTCGTGGCTATCAGCATCCTCTGCCAGCCTATGGAATAGCTCAAGTTAGATACTCCTATCTCTGGCTTTTCATCCACAGTTCTTCCCTCTTCCCCATCCTGCCTCCCATTGGTGATCCATCCCTCACCAGGCTGAGCTCTCTTACTCGCTGACTGCTTAAGCTTTCCACTACCCTCTTGGTCGCTTTCATCTCCTCCTAGTAATAGCCTCCTACCCCCTCTCTCTGCCTTCACAGCCGTGTCTTCCACCAAATCCATCAAGTGCACCACAGCACCAGGCACTTCCGTCATCTCTTCCTCTGGCGATGAAATATCTACTGAGTGCCTTGTCCGGAGCCCTGGTGGGTTAAGTATTGGGCTGCAGCCTGGTGCACACTGGTCATCTTCCAAGATTTGCTTCCAAGATTTCCCTACATGCAGATTCATACTGCTCCCTTCTCCAGATAGAAGCAAATATCCTTCCGTTGATTCCACAAACTCCTTGGGCTCATTTTGAATGCCCTCCCCTTCCCACTATTGTTCAGATTCACTTAACTCGTTTCCTGAACTAGATAGTGAGTTCCTTGGGGGCAGGAACCATGCCGCATCTCTCTGTGTGTGTACGTTTGGCTTCCTTGAGCACAGTAGGCAATCATTAAATAGTTGCTGAAGGAATAAATAAAGGATAGACTGCATGATGGCTTGCACAACACTCTTACGCCTTTACCATAGTTTGTTCACCTTTTAGAAGTAAGTGTGCGTGTTTGGGGGTTACAGTCTGGTTTTCACAGATTTAGAAAAATCTCTGGCAAATGTTAGTTATACTGCATTCAGGGATTACTACAGATTTAGAAAGTGGGTGTGACTCTCTTTATGAAGTTTGATGCTCACACAGGGAAGCCTAATGTCCCCACCGTTTGCTACAGACCCCCGAGGGCCCAGGACTCCCACTCACCTGCCACTTCTGGCTGTGGTGTTTTCCAGTTGTCGGGTGAGGAGCTTGGCGATGGCGGTGAAGCTGTTGCTCATGCGGAAGATGTCTCTGCTCTGAGGGCCCAGGAGGGAGGAGAAGGCATCGGCGATGCTCCTAATCTCCAGCAGGAGAAGATGGTGGAAAGAGTGCTCCGCACTGGCCAGCTGGCTCACGAGGTACCTCAGACAGCTCCTTGCGCTCTCCTGCCAAGCACAACAACAGAGGGAACAGAGTCTGCGTTTCCACAGAGTCCCGTCACCAGCACACGCCATTTCTACAGAGCTTACTTAGGGAGCTAGCTGAAGCCAAATAAGTAGCTTTGTTCATGGCTCCTCTGAATTTGGTTCTTTGAGATGAATCCTCCTGCCCCTTGAAGCCCCTGGTTTCCAGAACAGCTGAAAACCAAACCAAACCCAAAACGCCTCTTTCTGTTACTTTCTTAAAAAATGATGCAAAGATTCTCACAGGTCAAAACCTCTTGACCACCATGAATGAACTGACCCCACATACCCACATCACTACCTCATCTGACTTGGTGCTTTCTTGGGCCAGTCTCCAAGCCTGTATGGCGCATGAACTCTACCTTCGAGCTAGAGACTAGGTCCGTGGTCTCAAAATCGGCATTGGCCTTGGCCTCCTCGGTGGTTCTCTTAGACAATGGTCACACATTGCCTTGGTGTACCAAGTATACCTCTTCTTCACAAAGTATTCTCACTCACTTTGAGCATCTTTCAACAATTTATGTTTTTTTATGTGCCTGGTCTGGTATGACCTATTTTTAACCAAACCAACTCTCACAGTGGGCAAGAGATTTAGATAACAAGAAAATGGCTTAGCTGACACTTCTCTTATACTTATTAAACTCCTCATTAATCATATTATGAGGTAAATGGTTTACACCACTGTGACTACAAGTTAGCCCAAATAGTTTTACACTATCAAGAAAATAAGCTATCTTTATAGTTGTTGAGTAAAGAGCTTGATGATGTGGTAAAGCTGTTGTTTATGTGAACGATGTATGTTCTTGATAGTTTAAAATAATTTTGGCCATCACAAGGTTGGCAGTTCAAAACCACCAGCAGCTTCACAGGAGAAAGACTGGGCTTCCTACTTCCGTAAACAGTTAAAGTCTTGGAAACCCACAAGGGGTCACTTTGAGTCAGCATCGACTCAATGGCAGTGAGTTTTTTTTTTTCTGTTTAGGTTCAGTGGATTATATGAAACATAGATATATGCTGATATCACAATTAGTAAAAACAAAACAAAAAACCCAATATAAAATATGTCCTCTTAAATCTTGAACTCCTCTTTTAGAATGTTCTATTTTTCTGCATTAAAACCTTCAAATTAGTACAGTAGAATGTAATGCTAGTACAATAGGATATATGTCTAATTATAAATAAAGGTATATTAGAAGTAGACACTCAAGATTCTTTTAACTGCTGTTAGCTGCTATGAAGTCAATTCCAACTCAGAGCAACTCCTGTGACAAAGGACAACTGCCCCAGAGGGTGTCCTTGGTTAGAATAAAAACAGAAGCAGATACCAGGCCTTTCTGCCAAGCAGTGCTGCGTGGGTTGGCACTACTGACCTTTGGGTAGAAGTCGAGCACTTAGTCATCCCCACCACCAGGTCTCCTTCACTGATAGGGGCAGAGGCATGCATTTCCCTGTCCAGGAGGACTAGCCTTCTCCTCTCTTCTACCCTGGGAAGTCTCAATTACCTTCCACTTCTCTCCAGTCCCCCATGAAGGCATCCCCAGTGAGTCTTTGGATGGAGTTTCTAATACTTCATAGCTTTTTAGAAAATTGTGTGGAGTACTTGTTTGCATTTCATCTTTTATTTATTCAGGCTTTCATTGAATCACCCAGTAGGTATTGTGTGACGACATGGTGCCTGGCTCTCTTCTAGATGACAAAGGGAAATGAGAAGCGACCCCTCCTTTCAGGGACTCACGCATCTCCTCTTTGCATTTATAATTCCTAAACTGTCACAGGCATCAGTCAGGTCTCCCAAAGGGACTACGGATGTCTCACGTGTCAGTCACCAACCTGGCATGAAATTGAGTCTGTGGAGTCTAACCCAGCATGTGTGCCTCAAGTCATTGAGGTACACAAATCTTCCATGCCAAAATATCATGTTGCAAATAAAATATGTCGTTGCAAAGGAATTCTGTGCTTTACAGGAACTAGTAATTACAGAACAGATTTCAGTCATGAAGTTAGCCTTGTCTTCAATACTTCATTTGATTTTCAAAGACTCCCTGGACACTTGCACTGGGACACAGCTCTCAGGGAGGTGAGGTGCAGATGCCAACCCTTGAATAATTATTTGTTAAATACCATGAGGTTATAAGACTCTGTCTGAGTGTGTAAGACAGAGATTTGTGCTGCCATGAGCTAGACAGCTTATTAAAAGAGGCATATATTCATTAAACGACAACAATATTAGGTGAGTAAGTATTAAAGGCCATTTTAGCAAGCCCATTGGCTCAAATAACTGGCAGGTTGCAGAAGGACATGTAAATGTTCTTTAGTTGTCTTTTTTTTTTTTTTTTCATTTTTGCAACATAGACACATACATTCATGTAAAGGCTCAATGTGTGAATTCAAGGTATACAAGGAATCACAGAGGCATGTTAAATTTCCCATCTAAAAACAAAAGCTGGGAGTAGTGCAAAAAGAAAACAAAAAAGGGCAAAAATCCCTGCCAACATAAGCAGGTGGAAAGATAGGACAGAAAACACAGATGTAAAATATGAAGTGTGTTGAATAGAGAAATATTTCCCCCAAATAAAGCAGGATCAGGTATCCCAGAGAGTCCATTTTAAATGGTGTGATCAAGCCAGCCCACACAGAAAAATGGGGCATTTGAATTCAGTAAGATTTTAGACTCTAAAACCCACCTTCTCAGTAGCCATAGGAAACAAGCCAATGTGTCCTGAGCAGTAAGTATAAGGAGATAGGAAGACGCAGGAATGGGAACCAGAGGATGTGACCATTTGTCTGCTTGCTTGTCCTACTGAGAAGGTAATAGAGGTTTCAGGCACTTCCCTGTTTCAGAATCAGATTCTTCATCACTTTATCTTAAAGTCATCCCACAGAAATGCCATCTGCTGATTAAGAAGTTTCCTGCATGGTTTCATTAAGAACCCTGTCATTATAAAAATTGGCCACCCCTCTCATTACAGCAAGGAAGCCCTGGTGGTGTCATGTGTTTACACGTGGGCCTACTAACAGCTAACTAGCAGTTTGAAACCAGTCACCCCTTGGAAGAAAGAAGAGGCATTCTATTCCCGTAAGATGCACAGTCTTTGAAGCCCACAGAGGCTAGCTATCTCCCTCTGTTCTGCAGAGTTGCTAGGAATCAGAATGGCTCAGTGGCAGTGAGTTTGGTTTTGAGTTTTGGCTTCATTAAAGCATATTTGTTCTTAAAGGTGAAGGTGGTTGTATGGATACTCCCTGAAATTAACCTAATTCTGAGTGATTTGCTGACAGGCAAGCTGAGATGGAAAACTCTAATGAAGGAGAAATTAATCACAATGCTCTTTTAATTAATTAATCACAATTATAACTGCTCTGTAGGTGACCTATAAGACCAAGCCAACCTGTCATTTGTTCTGATATGCTGTAATTCACAGGGGTAACAGATGTGATTTGGGGTTAGAGGGTTGTTGTGTGCCATCAAACTGATTCCAAGTCATAGTGACCTTGCAGGACAGAGATCATCTACCCCATAGGGTTTCTGAGCCTGTCATCAGTATGAAAGCAGACTGGCCCATCTTTCAACTACTGGTGGGGTTCGACTGCCAAACTTTTGGTTAGCACCAAGTGCTTCCTTCACCTCTGTGCCATCAGTCCCCCTTAACAAAATGGTCAGGAAATTCCAATTTCTTTCTTGGCTCCACAATATTTTACCTTTGGCGAGGGGCAGCAATTGAATTGCCTCAGCTACTAGAAATTCTTCTCCTCTTATCTTGCTCATACAATCCTAGACACATCTTTCAGCCTATTCAAACGTCAGCTCTTCCATGAAGCCGTTTCCTACTCTCCCAGACAATGTCAGTTGCTCTGATGTCCCGGTACCTCAGATCTTTTGCCATGTTGTTCTGAGAGCTCTGACCTCCTTGCCTGCAATTTATGTATTGAGTTCTTTCTTTCCCAATGAGGTCCACAGGGAACTGTGTTCTGATCATCTTTGTATCTTCATTGCCTAATGCATTGTCGAGCATAGACCCACTCCACTGTCATTGAGTCAATTCTGCCTCACAGCGGCCATCTGTAGGTTTCTGAGGCTGTAAATATTTATGAGCCATCTTTCTTCCAAGGATGGCAGGTGGGTTTGAACTGCCAATCTTGTGGTTAGCAACTCAATGCTTTCACCCACAGCTCCACCAGGCCTTGCACTTCTACTCTGGCAGAGAATAAAGTTGATTGCTGAAAATAATCACCAATGTCCCAGCCACTCTGGAGCCAAATAAAACTGATAAAACCAAGTGTACCTGATAAAATTTAATACTTGGCAGCAAAACAGGACTTCCAAAGCTTTCTATTTCCTTTTCAGGAGGGTTGTACTACTTAGTAGGCTCTTAGGCATGGAAGTTTTATATTGAGACACAGTTAGAATGCTTTCTTCTGTCTCCGTTCTTTATTATTTGTATACTGGTGAGCATCTTATTCAACCACTTTGATGGTCAATTTCTTCATCAATTTGGAACTAGAAGTTCTATAGCAGGCATTGTAATTGCATATCTCTTTTCCACTCCCCGCCCCACCCCCCACCCAATTTGGTAGCACTCTCATTCTGCTGCAAATTAAAAATGATAGGTACTCAATTTCTCAGATTCTTTTGCTACTAGGGGATTGGTGTTTGGCTTCATCCAGGGTTACTGTACCTGAGATATATTTTTCTGAAGGAGGAGGCAACAGTAAAAGGTTTTCCTCCAGCACAAAAAGAGGTACATGGAATTACACGTTATGTTTCTTTAAGCCATGGTTACAACCACATGTCCTGCCTGACCTTGTGGCAGGCATCTTGAATACGTCAGGGGGTGTATTTATGAAGCCAAGTCAACACACTCAGAACTGTAGAGAGAAGATGGAAAGAGACTGCTTTCTGACTCTGTGGAACTTCTAAACAAACTATGGACCCTTTGTGTCTTCCATATGTCTCATTATATGAGATTATAAATCTCATCCTCCTT